CCCCAAAACCCCAAAACCCCAAAACCCCAAAACCCCAGACCAAAATAACAAACTTGAATATTATACCAATCCAATATATTATTATTTTTCAATTTCATGAAATGGAAAATCTAAGTAGCTTTTATAACTCAAGACCTCTCTTTGGGGTAAAGAGATGCGCCAATGTACCTTTAGACATTGGGCTAGTCACTCTTTCATGCGGAGAAGTGATCCTCTCCAGTGTTATCTCCATGAGGTTTCCATTTGGATTACTTGGATTCCTTACTCCAAGCGAAATGTCTCTTCTTACAATTTCCTGCTCCTCTTGGTCATTGCTAATCATCTCTAATGTATCATTAGTCACATGTAAAGGGATAATAGTCCTTCAGACAGGTGAGAAATTAGCCTGGAACTTCTTCCTGCTCTTGATATCCTTGATCTGGTCAGTCTTATCATCATAAAATGTATTAGTCTTCGTGCTGAAATTTATATCGGGTTCGGAAGGATGGCTGGCTTTATTACTCTCAATTCAACTGAGTTTTCTACCTCCCACCGCCTTATTTGATCTTAATCTGGTAAGCTTCGATCATTTTCTTTGCTCTTTTTGAGAGCCCCTTGACTAAATGTGCTGGAAGAGATGGCTTGTTATGAGAAGCCAAATTCTGTCCCTTACTCTGCTGAACAAGCCTTTGGGTAATTTCCTTTAACTAAAGAATTTTAAAATTCCTTACTGTAATAGATTGCTTCTGAGGGTTTGGAGTATTCTGAATGTTACCTTTATCCACAGTATTCTCTAGCTTTCTTAGCTTAAGTTTGTTCAGAATATAGGCTTTTAAACCGTCTTTTTCAAGCTTCAAATTTTTCATAATTCGATCATTTTCATTAAACTGCTGGCCTTTTGTATAAATATTCTTAAGGCTTAATACAGAAGTCAGGTCCTTGACTAATGGCTTATTTCCACACCCAGAAATTTGGTTCCTTGGCCTCGGATCTGGGCTGAAGGTATCCTTCTTCCTCCCCTTTTTCTGATTTAGGAGTTTAACTCTTAGTTTTTTATCCCCTCATTTCTTTTGTATTGAAGGCTTAATTCTCTTTAACTTCTTAGCAGCTTTTTCAATTACATTTTTGGGACTAAAAACCCGCTTCTTTTTAGTAGCATTTGAGCTGATTCTTCTGTGTTTTATAGAAATCTCAGTGATTTCCTATACATAAAATTAAAGAAATTACCAACACATTAAGTTTTATGAATCTATACTTACCTTTTGTTCAACAGGCTCTTCCTTGACATAATTATTATCATCAAAAGACTCAATGGAATTCAGTGCGAAGTAGTCTTCAATCTGTAAGTCTTCATCCTGCTCGTGGGCACCTGATCCATCATAATCCCTTTGGGTTGAAGAATCTGGTGCTTCTTTAGGGTGAAATAAGATCTCCTGATTCATGCTTATAAACTTAAATTATATTAGCCATGACAATAATAAAATTTCATGTTGGGGTTTTGGGGTTTTGGGGTTTTGGGGTTTTGGGG